CTCAGGCCCCAGTGCAAAGCACGGCCGTTGTCTCTGTCCACTGCTCACTTTCCCCGGAACCTTCCCTCCCTCCTTGGGCCTCTGCTGTAGCGACTGTCTCCAGTAGCCCCTCTGTCCCCTCTCTGCCCCCGAGTGTGTGTTTGGATGGACTCCACCATGGCTGGGGGCGCCAGGCGGGTGCTAGGCCTGCAGGCCCCAGTAGGGCTCATACTCATTTGTAAACGAAGGAGTGAATGAAGGAGCCCTGACGTCAAGCAGCCCAGGTGATGTGCTGACTTAATCTTCAGGACCCCTCCCTGGGGCAGGTGCTACCATTAGCCCCACGTGACAGATGGGAAAATGGGGGTCTGGGACGGGGCGGCAACATGAGTGACCCAAAGCGCAACAGGCAGTGAGTAGGGGAGGGGATGCAGGCCCGGGCCCCCGAGGCTGGACCTTTTACAGCGGAAGCAGCTCTCCGTGCAGCTCCCCGAGTCACAGTAGAAGCGGCCCTCCTTGCACTGGCACTGCCGGTCGGAGGTCGGGGAGCACTCAACCACCACCTCCTGATCTGCTGGAGGGAAGATGGGGGTCAGTCACCAGGGCCAGGACCCTGTCTGAGGACGCCCAAAGCTGCCCGCGCCCTCCCTTCTCAGCAGGGATGGAGAGATAACAGCCAGACCTTGTTCCCTGCAACCCGGGCTGTCTGCGTAGGGGCCAGTGGTGGCCCTGCCATCTGTGCTGGGGGGAAAGGGCCACCTCCTCAGAAATGACCTCAAATCATTCTGTCCATCTTGTCTGCCCCACGGAGAAAAGGCCACCACTCCATGTGACCATGAATGACCCATCCCAGCAGGTTTGTAAAGGGCACGGTCACGGTGCCACACCCCACTTCTCGCCCCGTGGGGCGGTTTCCACTGGCCCCCTGTTCACCGCTGACGGAGCATCACCTGGCTTAGCTGTCTCTTCCTGCAGAGTCTCCTCATTGTCACTTCACCAAGTTTCACAAAGACACCTGTTGAGACTTTTTTTTTGGTCCTGGGTTCAATCCCCAGTACCTCCTCTAAAAATAAATCAATCAGTAAACCTAATTACCCGCCTCCCAAAATACCTAAAACAAACCTGTGCACGCTTATGGTGCACCGCACGAGGCGCTGGCGCACCCTGTTGGGATTTTCACTGGGAATGCGCAAAATCTAAGAATCTGTCCGTGGAAAGTGGACAGTCTTAGCGCATGGCGTCTCCTTGCTTACAATCTCACGGCATTACTTGGCAGATTGAGATTTCCTTAAAGTATCTTTTCTGGGGTCATTTTGGCGAATGCAGATGGTATTTTAAAACACATGTTTAGAGGCGCTTTGTTGCTGACAGTTTCAGAACTTCTGCCTCTCGTCCGTCCGTCCAGCAGCTCTGAGCTCTTAACGGCCTGCACGTGGAGTCTTTAGCTGGTACACACACCATGGCGACGAAACCCAGCGCTCTGTCCCAGCTGCCCCAGCAGCTCCGTCACCATGTCCAGCTGGGACCTTTTCCTCTGGGGAGGCCACCCAGGCGTGTCGCCACAGCACGTCTGCCCGACCGCCGCCACTTACCGTCGCGGCAGAGGGCGCAGTGCACGCAGCTGGTCTCCGCACTGGGGTGGGACCTGAACGTCCCAGACTCACACTCCCTGCACGCTCTGACGCTGCGGCCCTCCTGGAACAGCTCGGTGAGGTAGTAGCCTGTGAGGGGGGACAAAGGGGAGGTGGGGGCCCAGGGCCATCCTGTTCTGCCCCAGACACGCTCAGTCTGTGAGGCCTGTCCTTGAGAAGGTTTGGGGCCGGATCCCTTGCACAGGACCACCCCTCTTGCCTCCTTGGAACATTCTGGATTGATCTGGGGCTGCCTGTGGAACAGGAACCAGAAACCTGTACCGCCCCTCGGTGCCCTGGAGTGTGTGGGTGCTGGAGCTGGCCTGGCGGGACTGGAATCCCTCACCCTCAGCCCAGCAGACTCAGCAGCTCCCTCCTGGCCCCGTGCTCACCTTCGGCGAAGACTGGCACAGAGCCAACTCACAACCTTCCAGGGCAGAGTTCACCAGATACCACGTCAGACCAACTCTGTCTCATTCCTTCCTAAATGTGCTTTGTGTAAGTGTGTGTGTGTGTGCATGCACAGATGGGCATGTGTACAGATGTATATGGCGTGCACGTCCAGGTGTGTGGGGAGCAGCGGGGCTCAGTGGTCCAGGGGTTTGGGGCCTGGTGTCTGAAACAGGAGTCCCGAGAAGGCACAGGTTGTGGATAAAACGAGGCACGTGTGCAGGTATCTGAGTGGGTGGCGCAGAATGTGAGGGCACAGGTGTGCGGCTGGCCCCTTACAATGGGAGAGCGAGAAGGCAGCTTCCCTGATCGTGGGAGCATGCCGTCTGCACGTGTCGCTGGGGTGCGGGATGGTGAGTCTCACTGGCATGCGGGCCGTGGGCCTGGGACCACGGTCCCCACAAAGGCCCAGGTGTTATGCAGCACTTGGCCGGGAGGTGCGGTAGGGTCGGGAATGGGGTGGGTTCTGACTTCAGAGCATCCTCACGAGAATGGATGGATTTGTGCATGAGGCAGTGGTGACGGGCACCTCCCCACTAGAAACTTCCCGCCCTTGGGTGCCCACTGTTGCCCTCCTGACAGGAGGAAGGTGGGCCTGTCCAGCCCGGGCATGCACCCCACTTCTGTCCCCCAAGCCCTGCTGAACACACCTCATCCTCGTCAAAACCAGCACATAACCCTGCTGTTCCCACAAGAGCCCCCAAAGTGGGTGCAGGGGTGGGGCGCTGGACGGCTGCCAAGGAGAGGCCCTCTCACCCAGAGACAGCAGATGCTCCCCCCAGCTCTGCTCAAAGGGTCCAACAGCTCCCTTCTCCGAGGTAGGAGGTCTGTCCCAGAAGGCCCTGGAAGTCATCCTGGACTCACCAGCTGGACAGAGTTTATAGCAGAGGCAGAGGCTCGTACCCTTGTACTCACCTGGGTCACACAGGGTCTCCCTTGTTGTCATGGTCACCTTCAATCAGAAAGGAGACTGGCATTATCAAGAGCGGCCTCTGCTCCTGGTGGAAGCACACAGGCTCGAGCAGGGAGTGCCAGCCACCTGCCAGCCCAGAGCCCTGCCTCCCTCGTGGCGGGTGGGCTTCGTAGGAGGATCACACATGGGAACGTCGCCTTGATCTCTCTGCTGTTCCACTCGCTATACCGAGCAGGATCATCCAGGGGGAATATGTCTTTAGTTCCCAAATGCATGTGGCTTTGTAATCTATCCCAATGGCTGACATCTAGTCTATTTGCAAGGTCAAAACTAGATCCTTTGGGGTAGGGATCCTTCAAAATTTAGTGAGTCTTTTGTTTCTTTCTAGTAGATAGTTGACTTTTTTATGCAGTTGCATACACATTTTATCAGGAAAAGATACTGTCTATGTGTGGGCACAGGGATCTGAGCTGATCTATGTGTACCTGAGTGTGTACATCACTGTATGTGTGAACATGTACACATACACAGAAACCTGTTATGTGGTCTTAATATTTGTATATAATTACTGCTTTTTTCTGCTCCATTTGTTGGTTCTGAGGTATATTAAAACCTCCTACTAAGTTTCTAGACTTGGAGAGTACATCAAGCAATGATGTCAATTTTTGCCTTTTGTATTTTGAGGCTGCGTTATTGTTTACATATGTGTCATGTTGTTTCACTAGGACAGTCGATCCACATTATTTGATGAATTCTGTTATTTTTGAACTCGCTTACGTGCTAACATTTATTTGTGACCCCAGAGTTGAGACTCGTGGTGCTTTCTTAGACACGGGCAGAGTAGCAAGAGCCTCCATTCCCGACATACACGTTCCTAGCTGAGGCCGACCAAGGTGATGCTGCCTTCTTATGTCAGGTCTCAGAGTGCAGTGTCCCTTCTGCAGCCAGTTTTTCATAGTTTTGTGTTGTTGGTGATTTTGCTGTTTAAAACGGTCCCTAGTGCAGCGTGGGTGTGCTGCCTGGAATTCTGAAGCACAAGAAGGCTGTGACGTGTTTTACACACATGTGATGAAAAACAGGTACGTTGAATAAACTTTGTGCAGGCACGACTTACACTGAATTAACTACATATTAAGTCAGGTGTCTTTAAACAGAAACACTCATAAAAGCCAGATTCTATACTGACAGGTTGGTGAAAATGCTGCAGCTAGAAGCTCCCAGGGAACTCTCCTTGCCCGTCTCTATAGGCCGTGGTCAGCGCTGGCTAATTCTGTGCTCAAAGTGACTTTATAGAACGGAAGTGTTGCGAAGACAGGACTCAGTTATTATTTTCTCCCCCCGAGCAGCAGGCCGCGCACTGCTCCTCCCCACTGCGGCTTTGCGGCCTGCGCGCCCTTCCCCGTGACGGTGAGACGCTGCCTGGCGCCTCTGTGCCCAGCCTCGCGCGCGCCGCGGGCTGCCGTGCTCTGCGCGGCCATCTACGTGCTGCCCTCCTGCCTTTGAGGGATAGCCCTTACCAACGCCACAGTGCTGGACTTTCCTTTCTAATTCAACCTGATAATCCACGAGTGAGTTTCACTTATCTGTGTGCGTGGGATTACTACCCTCAGTCCATCTGCACCAGCGTGTTCTGTGTTCACGGTATCAAGCTTTCCCTCTGGTTCCTTTCTCCCTTTCATTTCTGCTTCTGCTTTCCTCATGCCCCCGGTCCTCCCAGATCCCTGTTTCTCCCTTCAGTGCAAAAGTGCATAAATTCCATTTTTAGCTTTCTATTGCTTTATGTTGTATTTTACCTTGGGAAAAATGAAGCAAAATGTAACAGAAAAACATACTTAGATAACTTCAAACAAGAAAGTCTAGTTTGCAAACACCACAGCAACAACTGTTTCACGCAAGGATCATCAACATGTGTTAACGGTAGTAAATGTAAAACAGAACATTTACATAGTTTGAAAGCAACTCCCCACAAGATACTTGGTAATTACATTGGGAAAAGAAGTGAACTTACAGTGAACAAGCCTGGCAGACACTATCTGAACTAAGCTGCAAAAAACACAATGTCACTTAGGAGGTGTTTTCACTGAAAATGAGAAGACATCAGACAAACCCAAACTGAGGAACAATCTCTTAAATGATTGGTCAGTGCTCTTCCACAGTGTTAAGGCTGTGGGAGAAAAAGACAGACTGAGGCAGCACTCCAACTTTTCTCAAGGACATCAGTGGGATAGCTGGCGTAATCTGAAGGTGGTCTGCAGACCCATCAATGTCAGTCCTCTGTTTTAAAGAAAAAAAATCACAAGACATGAAGAAACAGGAAAGCACGGCCTATTCAAAGTGAAAAACCAAACTGACAGAAAACATTCCAGAGGAAGGCCAGATGGCAGACTTACTAGACAAAACTCTAAAATACTCTCTTAAAGATGCTCCAAGAACTAAAGGAAGACACGAAGTCAGTAGAGTGATACAGGAACAATGCAAAGAGATCAATATAGAGAGAGGAAACGAAAAAGAGAACCTGGAGTTAAACAGTACAGTAGCTGAAATGGAAAATCCACTAGAGGGATTCATAAGCAAATCTGAGCAGGCAGAGGAAAGATCAGAGAACATGAAGATAAGACATCTGAAATGACTGAGTCTGAGGAACAGGAAGAAAAAACATTAAAGAAAGGTGGACAGCACTTAAGGGACCAAAAGGGTACTGTCAGGTGGGCCACTCTGTGCATTGCAGGAGCCCCAGATAAAAAAGGAGAGAGAGAAAGGCGCAGAGAAGTTATTTGAAGAAACAATGGCCTGCAATATTTGATTTGACGCAAGACTTGAATCTGTAAATCCACGAAGCTAATCAAACTCCATGTATGACGAAGGCAAAGAGATTTCTGTTGAGACACATACTCAGATTGTCCAAAGACAAAAAGAGAATCTTTAAAACAGCAAGACAGAAGTGATAGAAATTCTCAATAAGATGATCAGATTCCTTATTGGAAACCTTGGGAACCAGGTGATAGGCGATGGGTTGCCATAGTCATGATGCTAACAGGAAAAACTGTAACCCTAGAACTCTACATCCAGCAAAGCTGGGAGTTTGTAGCCATTAGACTTGTCCTGGAAGAAAAGCTAAAGTGAGTTTCCTTGAAATAAAAGGACACTACACAATAACCAAGGCCCCGTGACAACTTTTAATGGAAAAGAGTCTGCAACAAACAAAAAAGAAAAGCCCTGAATTAGATGGCTTTATTGGTAAATTCCATCAAACATCATTTAAAGAAGAACACAAAACCCTTCTCTCTTCCCCCAAAACTGAAGAGAGAGGAACACTTTCAAAGTCATTCTGTGAGGCCAGCAGCACCCAAAGCCAGACAAAGACAAGACAAGAAAACCTCAGACCACCACTCCTTATGAATAGTGATGCAAACAACCTCAACAGAAGAGCAAAGAAAATTCACCTGCATGCTAAAGGGATTATACCTCGTGACTGAGTGGGCCTTGTTCCTGGAATACACGGACGATTCAGTACGAAACATCAATCACTGTAATATAATGCAGAACAGCAACAAACTGAAGGAGAGCTGAACATGATCATCACAGTCAACAGGGAAAAGCGTTTGGCAAAATTCAATACTATTCCATTATGAAAGCACTCCTACACTAGGAAGAGAAAGAAACACACTCAAGACAATAAAGGCCATAAGTGAAAACCCTCAGCTAACATCATCCTTTACGGGGAAGACTGGCACTCTCAGATCAGGAACGAGGATACTGGTCTTCAAAATTTTATTGAACATACCATTAGAATTTCTAGCCAGAATAATTAGGTAAGAAAAAGAAATAAAAGCCACCCAAATAGGAAAGGAAGAAATCAAATGATCTCTGTTCACAGACAACATGATCTTATACGCAAGAAAACAATAGAATTCCACCAAAAAAAAAAAAAAACCCACAACCTGTTAGAATGAATAAATTCGGCAAAACTACAGGACACAAAATCAACATAAAAATTAGTTACATTTCTATATATTAACAGTGAACAGTTCAAAAAATAAATGAAAAAGCAAAATCTACTTACAACAGCATCAAAATGATTAAAATACTTAGGAATTAACTTAGGCAGGAAGGTGAAAGATGTAAACTGAACTATAAAACAGTGCTTAAAGAAAACACAGAAAGTGCAAAGACATCCCATGTTCATTTGAGGGATGACTTAATATTGCTAAGATGTCAAGACTACACAAAAAGCTCTCCAGATTCAATGCAGTCCCCATCACGTTCCCAATGATATTCTTTGTACAAAGAAAAATCCATCCCCAAATTCATATGGACTCTCAACGGACCCCAAATAGCCACAACAATCTTGAAAAGAAGAGCAAAGTTGGAAGACTCACACCGCCTGATTTCAAAACTCAGCAGCAAGGGAAAGAGTGTGGTATGCAGCAGAAGAGCCAGCCCCCGAACAAACCCTTACATATGCGGTCAGACAACTTTTGACAAGAATCCCAGGACCATTCAACAAGGAAAGGACAGTCTTTGTAACAAGTGATACTCAGGAAACTGGATATCCACGTGCAAAAACATGAAGTTGCCCCCTTGCCCTATAGCACACACAAAAAGGAACTGAAAATGGATCAAAGACCAAAGAGCTAGACTGAAAATGACAGAACTCCTAGAAGAAAATAGTGGAAAAGCTTCCCGACCTCGGGTTTGGCAGTGTCTCCTTAGATGTGACACCAGAGGCACAGGCAACAAAGGCACAGACACACAAACTGGACTTCACCCGAACTCAGTCACTAGGTGACCCCCCACCCCGCCCAGGGACACCGCATGTGGATGTCCAGCTGTGAGCCTGAGCCTCATTATCCGCAAGTCATGTGTCTCTTTCAGGACAGAGATTCTCTGAAAGTAGACTGTGCGCTCTAGTCCCTCGACGTTAGCCACAGGGACAGTGAAAGGTCCTGACAGTATGTGAAGTGGATAAATTCCTAGAGGGACACACCCAAGAAGAAGGAACAATGGGAACAGACTTGTAGCAAGTGAGGAGACTGAAGTAGTAATCAAAACAGTGCCCACGAGGAAAAGGCAGAAGGTGGCTTCGCTGCTGAATTTCACCCCAAATGAAGAAATCACCTAATTCTTCACAAACTCCTCCTGAAATAGAAGACGAGGGGACACTTTCCAACATATTCCATGAGGCCCGAATTACTCTGATACCAAAACCAGACAGAGACGTCACCAAAAACTGCAGACCAGCAATATTTATCAACACGCACTCAAAAATCCTCAAGAAAATGTTAGCAAACTATACCTGTAACACATCAAAAGAATTATACCTCGTGACCTAATGGAATTTATCCCAGGAATGTTGACTTAACATCCAAATGTCCCTTCGTGTAATCCACCATATCAACACAAAGTCGGTGGGTCCTCAGAAAAGTGCCTGGAGTGATCATATGCGCAGCAGCTCTCCTCCGAGGCCCACCCCCCAGAGAGCTGCAGACAGGGGCTCACACAAACGTGCCCCACAGCACTTTCCCACAGACGTTCAAAGGAGCAGTGTGTGAACAGCCAAAAGCTGGAAATAATCCGTATGTCGTTCAACAAGCGAGCGGATAAACCGACGGTGGTACATCCATACAATGGAATATTACTTCACCATGAGTAAGAATGAAGCACTGGTATCTGCTACATTGTCAATGAACCTCAAAATACGCTAAGTGAAGTCAGGCAGAAAAGGTCACATATTGTATGATTCCATCTATATGAAATCCCTATAATAGGTAAGTCCGCAGAAACAGACAGCAGATTGGTGCCTGCCAGGCACTGTTGTGAAAAGGGGATGGAGAGTAACTGGCTGCTTATTGGATAGAGAGTTTTATTTGGGAGGGAGAAAAATATTGGGAGTAGACAGTGGTGGTGCCTGAGCATCGCTGTGCATATACTAAATGCCACTGAATAGTTCACTTGAACATGGCTAATTTTATGTTACGTAAACTTCACATCAATAACGTTTCTAATGGATCAAACACCTAGTATAAGAGCGAAAATGCAAAACTCTTAGAAGAAAATGGAGCAGTAAATCTTCATGACCTTGGACTTTGCAAAGGACTCTCAGATGTAACACCAAAAGCAGAGAACACAAAAGAAAAAAATAGATAAACTGGACTTTATAAAAATGGAATCCTTTTGTGCTTCAGAGGATACTATCAAGGAAGTGAAAGATACCCTACAGAGTGGGAGAAAATATTTGCAAATCCCATCTCTGATAAAGGACTCCTATCTAGAATATATAAAGAGTTCCTACAACCCACTAACAAAGAGGCGACCCGTGCTGGGGGCTGCTGAGCTCCGGCCGAGGGGACATGGCAGGTTGGAGGTATTTGGTGGAGCAGGAAGTCCGGCTTCAAAATGGTCTGTCACCGACCAGAACTAATCCTACACACATATATGGACACCTGACTGTGACAAAGGCCCAGGGCAACATAGTGGACAAAGGATAGCCTTCTCAGTACACGGTGTGGGAACAAATGGGTCCTGACCTATGAACAAATGGAGCTGGAGCCACACTTGTTTCATCGTATACCCAAACTGACTCAGAATGGATCATAGGCCTCAATGTAAAACTTAACACTATGAAAATCCTAGAAGAAAACCTAGGGGGAAGGCTTTGTGCCGTTGGACACAACAGCATCCTTAGGTCGCAAACCGAAAGCACAGTCCGTAGAAGACAAGGTGATAAACCGGACTTCTTCAAAAAGGTGAGCTTTAAGTGGTAGAATGCGTGGTTAGCATGCACGAGGTCCTGGGTTCAATCCCCAGGACTTCCACTTAAAAGAACAATTAACTTTCTTCGCCCTACAAAAAAAAAAACAAACAACTAAACTTATTTTCAATCAGGCTCCCGGAGGAAGTTCCCGGGTCCCCGATTAGTCATGGTCATTGCTCATTGTCGGTCAGGTCCAGAGAGATTGCGCTAAACAGACCCGCCACCAGCGGACGTTTCCGCAGGCGCCGGGTGGTCACCCCCAGAGAAGCAGCGCGCTCAGTCAACCCTCCAGACTGGTTTCTCGCGCTACCCTGGCGTGACCCTGTCCAGGCTGAGGGGAGAGCAGCGGTGTCCCC